GCTCTGCACCTTACCTGGCTGCTTCTTGCTCTGATTGAGGGCTGCTGGGAGCAGGGGGTGGGGTTTGTTGCATGTGCCCGCCCCCTGGCCTCTTTACTGCTGGAGCTCCGCTCCTGTGCACTCCTGCAGGAAATGACCCCTGCACCTAACCATGGTTAAGCTAGCTTTCTAAATGCAGTCCCTCTCAGCCTGTACCACATGGTGATCACACTGGTGATTGACCTATAAGGTTGTTGTATGGATTACTGAGGTAAGGTATGCTTCACACACCTTAACACTAGAAAGTGTCACAAAGGTAATAAATATTCTTATTAGATCCTGTCAATTTTTCCACTGGTGAAAGAGAGAGGGAGGCACAGTGAGCCCCATGGGCACAATCCAAAGGAAGAAGAAGAAGAAGAAGAAGAAGAAGAAGAAGAAGAAGAGATTGGATTTATACCCCGCCCTTCACTTGGAGTCTCAGAGCGGCTTCCCTCTCAGCCTGTACCACATGGTGATCACACTGGTGATTGACTTATAAGGTTGTTGTATGGATTACTGAGGTAAGGTATGCTTCACACACCTTAACACTAGAAAGTGCCACAAAGGTAATAAATATTCTTATTAGATCCTGTCAAATTTTCCACTGGTGAAAGAGGGAGGGAGGCACAGTGAGCCCCGTGGGCACAATCCAAAGGAGGCTTGGGCTGTAGTGAAGAGCGGAATTGGGTGAAATCGAACAGAAAAGCTGGTAGGACCCAGCCCCATATTTAAAATACGAATGTTGAGAAACAAATAGAGGAATAGATTGGTTGTCGTTCGGCGGATGTGGCAAGCCCAATTCCATCACGGCTATTAGAAAAAACTCCCTCCTTCGTTACCTTCGGCCCCCTCGGTCCTCGCAGACCAGGCTCGCCAGTGGGACCCTGAAACAAAAGATTTGAAATCAATAATCTGAGATGGCTGTGTAAGGACCGGACCTATGACCCAGTTGTTCCCACGCAAACAACAACAATATTCACCCCAAAAGTCTAAAGTAGCCTCAAGCATCTGTGAAAAGCGGTCTGTGAGAAAATCTCCTCGGTGCGGCTTCCTCAGACAGAGAATCATTTTGAATAAGGGCCAAACTAGACGTTAGGCAGCAGACCCATGTGTCACATTTGGCATTTATCATTTTGTGAAAGAGCACAAACAAATGTTTCCAGCTAGGAATGTCCCCAGTAGAACGGACCTTATCCCCCGGATCAAAGAAATGGCTTAAGGATCCATTTGTCTGGCTGGGACTTGCCCAGTTCCAGCGTTGGCTGACAGATTCTGACAGACATTGGGTTGGGCCCCAGGGCTGCCAGCTATTAAACTTATTTCTCTAGCTGTCCCTTTAATATCAATTTGATCCGCAGCTAACACCTGGCAATGCTATTTCCTTCCATGGCAGGGGTCCCCAACCTTTTTGAGCCTGTGGGCACCTCCGAAATTCTGATATGGGGTAGTAGGCACAGCCACAAAATGGCTTCCTCAAAATGGCTGCCATGAGAGGAAGCCAGGCAGAAAATGGCTCCTGCAGCTTGCCTTCAGTCACCCAGTGAAGAGGCTTCTGTTGTGGTAGAAGCTGCTGCTTTTCAAAAATCTGCACAGCCAATCAAATTTCCAATGGCCAATCAGAAGCCTTGCTGGGCAAAAGCCCCACCTGGCCCTGCCCACTTTCAGAAAAACACCCGGTGGGCATCAGAAAAGGTGTCAGTGGGCGCTGCAGCACCCATAGGTACCACGTTGGGGACCCCTGCTCCACGCCATGGAAAGCTTCAATTGCCCATTGCCAGACATCAAACCTCTATGAAAGGGACAGAACATTCCCCCCCCCAGCTCGTTGACAAGTCTAGATCCCACAGGTCCATTTCACGCGTAGTGGCGTATCCCCCACTGCATGGAGCCTTCCCTTGATGCAAGACACTGGAACCCCGCAAGGATTGTGGCCCCACAGCTGGACCTCCTGATGGCCCCTGGTATTTTTGGCCACTGTGTGACACAGAGTGTTAGACTGGATGGGACATTGGCCTGATCCAACATTGGCTTCTCTTATGCAGGGCTTTTTTTGTAGAAAAAGCCCAGCAGGAACTCATTAGCATAATAGGTCACACCCAACAGCAGAAACTCATTAGGATTGGCTACATTAGGGGTGTGTGGCCTAACATGCAAAGGAGTTCCTGCTACAAAAAAAGCCCTGGGTTTTGACAACAAGGTAAACAGAATAAGAAGCAAAAGGTGGGTGTGGCTGGATGACCACACTTCTGGTAACATGGGGGTGTGGCCTAATATGCTAATATGCTGTGCTGTCTAGGGTGTGGCCTAATATGCTAATAGGTGTTTGCTGTTGGGTGTGGCCTAATGCTAATGAGTTCCTGCTCTGCTGGGTGTGGCCAACTCAGGAGCCAGCCGGAACTCCGTTCCTGTGCGTTCCTGCCCAAAAATAGCCCTGCTATTTCATGTTCTTATGAAAAGGCTGTCTCAAGGAGATGTGTATGGAGCTCATGGGGGGGGGACACAATACAAGAGTTCTGTCTGTACCACATATATTAACAAATCCCCAGTACGTAGAAGTCCTCAGAACCAATACTCCCTCTAAGCTGTGGAGTCTTGTGAGCAAACATTCTACTTTGTGAGCTCAATGAATGATGTTTATTTGTGGTCAAAGATCACTTATCGAAATAATACATGTTCGTTAAATACAAGCAAATTAGCTTTCAGGTCTAAAAATAAACATATAACCTTAAAATCATTATAATGTTAAAAGGGGAAAAGTTTAACAGTCCATTACATCAAAATAATTAAAAGATGTTTAAAACTAAACAGCTTATGAGTCATGCAAGAGGTAAGTGAGGATTCTACTTGATCTGCTTCTTATTGTGAGATTTTACCAGTTGCTAACAGAATTTTGCTATTTGTCTGGAGATCTGCTGATTTTCCTCTATCAAAAGCCTCTCTAATTGCCAGCAGAATTTTGCCTCTCTAGATCAGCACTATCTGCATCAAGTGCTGGTCTATCCAAGAGGGAGGCAACTGGTAAAATTTATAGGGAAGCTTATCCCTATAAACCTGACGAAAAGGACAGTGAAAGAACATGTGGAACATCGATTCCACTTCTCCCACAGAGCATGGGCAGCACCCGTCTTCATATGGTATCTTTCTATATTTTCCTTCTAAAACCTTAGAGGGAATAGCCACACAACGAGCCAGGGTAAGAGCTCGTCTGTAGGGTGGCACCTCCAGATAAGTCAGGTATTTAGCCATTTTCATTACATATCTGGAGTCATTATGGACCAGAAAGGAAGGCACTTTGTGAGCTGCTGGCATTAATGATGTGAGCGAGCAATTTGATGAGCTGCTGGCATAAATTAGTTTGATCTGGAGCGATCCTTCCTGAGCTAAGACAAACGTGTGTGAGCTGGAGGCTAAAAAAACTGTGAGCTAGCTCACACTAACTCAGCTTAGAGGGAACACTGCTCAGAGCCCAAACGGGGCAGGGTAGATGGACCTCCCCCAGATATTGGGGGGATCCCCCTGCTCAGCCAGTTGCAGCTGTGGAATAGTCTTAAGTTCCAGAAGAAGGGCACAGACCCTAACCCAGACGGGGACCTGGGAGTTTATTACATTGACAAGCTTCACTAGCTTCCCTCTGCTCATAGAGCGAGCCACAAACTACTGCCCCAACTAATGCCCCCCCCCTGCCCTGGAGCAGGGAAGAAGAATCGGTCTCTTCTCTTTTGACGTTTTGTCAGAGAGGCCAAATTCCCACAACCTCCTTTCTCCTTCTGAAGGCCAAGAGCGACCCTCTCTTCTGTGCCGAAACCACCACGGGAGAGGGGAGAGCTGGGATCTGAGAGACAGCCTGCCCTTTTGCAGAGCAGAATGCAAAACCTGGGCTAACAGTGGATGATTTCGCACTAGAGCTGCCTCGATGTTGCGCCGCCGTTTGCCCCGATACTATTGGTCAATTTCACACCCGAAGCCGCGGGACTGCATTTTGACTCGTGGCTTTGCCCGATTTCCCCTGCAGTTTCGTGATCCTGTTTTTTGAGGTCCATCAGTGGCTATTAGCCACAAGGTATAGCTAGGGGCTCTGGGGCAAGTGATGCTCTGTCTTCTTGGTGCTTGGGGGGGGGTCAACAGTGGGAGGGCTTCTAATGTCCTGGCCCCACTGCTGGACCTCCTGATGGCACTGGTATTTCTGGCCACTGTGTGACACAGAGTGTTGGACTGGATGGGCCTTTGGCCTGATCCAACATTGGCGTCTCTGATGTTCTGATGTTCAGCTCTAGTGCGAAATCAGCCAGTGTCTCACTGGGGAGATGCTGCTCTGAGGGAGTGTTTGGCAGGGCATCAGGTTTTGATTGACATCTTCCTCCAAATATACAATCTTCTTCTCAGCACTCCCTGTTTAAAATAGTGGGCTGGTTTGCTTGAATGGGCATGCATGAGGGGTGAAACCCCCCCCACACACACACACTATGATGACTGTATGAGTGTTGGGAGAATGAGGTCACAGCCAATTCTGGTTCAGAACATGCCCTGAATCATTTCCTCTAACCCCACCCTGCCCGGCAGAGTTCCAAGACTGCAGGGCACTTTGTGGGTGGAGCCCAGAGAAGATAGACTGTGGCTGCGGCTACACAATCAAACGTCTAGACCGCAGAAGAATCAAACACTTCAGGGTAATAAAAACCAGCAAAAGCAAGCGCGCTACCTTCTTGACTCAGAATTCTTAGTTGGAACGGCTAGTGAGAGGAGCCAAACCTTTCTAGACATTACTTATAACCAGGGGTCATTTCGTAGAAAAAGAGGTGCAGGAGCTCATTAGCATAACTCATTAGCATAACTTATTTGCATATGCCACACCCCCTGACATCACCGGAAGTGTGTCAGAAGGCAACACCCACCGCTCAGGCTCCACTGGACTGTTCTGGATTGCTAGCTATTGGGGGGGGGGACGTGCAGATCTGTCCTTGCAGAGGAGGGAGAGCTGGTACCTGAATAAAACCTGGTCTTAAAGTGCCACTGGACTGTTTTGG